TTACATATTAACAATTATAAGCCATACAATTATGTACTTAGCAGCACCGCACATTTATTGTTAAGTTTGCCCATTTGATTAAATTCTATTTTATACTTGTGGGTTATTTTTCATTTATTTACTGAAAAGGATTATATGATCGAATCATATTATCATGATACCTACAAAACCTAAAAACCCTCACGGGATCGACAGGTTTTTCTACATATTGTATGATATGACCCTAAGGTAATTCATCATTTTAGAACATTCTGTAGAAACTGGTTTAATACCTTATCACTACATTTGTTCCCCAGTTTTTGTTCATTCATTAGAGCTTATCAGTGGTGACCCTTGAGAAATTTTTAGGTGGTGCGAGATATCATAGTGGCGCCCCTCTAAATACTAAAGCTTATTGATCCTATACTAAGCAGTTGCTTTTTCATGATTTTAAATAGTATTACAGCAATCTAATATTTTAAGGTGTATATGCGGGCCAAGCACAGTTCTGTCTGTCATATGTCATGTCTAGCATATAGCAGTTGCTCTGATTATTCGCGTTAAAGAAATGTTGTCCATTCCGCTCGCACTACTCTATTGCGCTCTACAACGCCACTATGCTTGCCTTGCTGCGGTTACTAGTTGTACAGATTATTTCTCATAATACGAGTTAATAATCTTGTTTGACAACTTTTATTTAAACCTTACCCATCTTCAAACGACCCTGTTGTTTTTTTTTTTAATAGAATATGGGGCAAACGAGCACACGGTTCACCTGATGTTAAGTGACTACCGCCGCCCATAAACATCTACAACACCAGAGGAATTGCAGGTGCGTTGCCGGCACTTTAGAAAGGGGTAAGCTCTTTTCTTGAAGGTCCCCAGGACGTATCGGTCCGGAAAAATCGCCAGTGGTAAGTTATTCCACAGAGAGGTCGTACGCGGAAGAAAACTCCTAGTTTACGTACAGTGGTGGACCGCCAAGCATCCAGATGGTGTGGATGGTATCGGGAGGTTTGCCGCGTAGTGCGTTGATGAAGTTTGGCGACTGGGATTAATCTGAACAATTCCTCAGAGCACTCCCGGTGATAGATGCGATAAAATACGCAAAGAGTTGCAACATCTCTTTGCAACGCCAATGAATCGAGCCGATCGCAAAGCACTCGGTCGTCGACGATTCGAGCAGCTCTGTGCTGGATGCGTTCAAGTGGAAGGAGCTGGCATTGGGGAGCCCCAGCCCAGAGATGGGAACAGTTCCCAAAGTTGCAGGCGGTGTGCCGGCATGAAATACTGTCCCGCTCTGCTAAGCACGCCAAGCTTTTTAGAGGACAATTTGGCCTTCTCTTCCAAGTGACCACGAAACTGCACGTGACTCGATATGTCGACGCCAAGGATTCCGATACTGGCTGAGGCAACAAGGGAAGTGCCTTTAAACTGAGGAGATACGACAAAGGGGTTCTTTTTAGCGGTTAACGCGCAAACTTGTGTCTTCAGAGGGTAAAATTGGACTAGATTTAGTCGCCCCTATTCCGAGACTTTGTTCAGCAAAGTTCAGACACAAGTTTGGTTTGGTGAGTTACTCGGAGACGTTTACTCGAGAAATATTGGCACGGTCGATGTACAGAGCGTCATCAGTGCCGTGATCTGCATAGCAATGAATATTGCTGATTTGCAATATATCATTGATGTGCAGAAGAAACAGCGTTGGTAATAGCACACAGCCTTGTGGAACACCAGCATTAATGGGCTTGTAATCGGAGCTAGCACCGTATACAACGACCTTGATGCTCCAATCTGCAAGAAAGCTGGTCATCCAACTGCACAATTTCTCGGGAAGACCATAGGAAGGAGCTTCGAAAGAAGCGCTTTGTGCCAAACCCGATCGAAGGCCTTTGGACCCCCTTAGACTCTACTGTCACCGCCTATCTATTATTTATTTATTTATTTTATTCTTTATTGCACCAAAGATTTTGTACAAAAGGCGAGCTTAATGCTATATGGCATTCTCTACCAGCTAACCTTGGGTAGAACACAGAGTAAGTTATGGGCAGTAAAGTTGTCATGATCACATTCAATTCAAATATGTACATGCTACACATACATAAAACATATATACATATATGCACATATATATTATATACACGTGCGCATATAAATAATATAACTAATACACATATTTATACATATATATCTCAATAAATTTATATACAAATAACTATAAACATATAAAGTAAGTGGACTCAAATTTGTTGGTTACGGATATATTCGTATAGTTTTCTTTTAAAAACGTTTTTGGCAGGTATTATTTGCAGGTCAACAGGCAATTTGTTCTAGAGGGAGATGGAAGTTACTGTGAAAGAATTTGTCATAAACCCAGAATGGTGGAGAGGAGTAGACAGTAATAAATTGTTTGAAGATCGGAGATTGAGATAATGAGTATCACTACGGAATTGGAATATTTCTTTTAGGTAAAGGGGTGAGGAAGAATTATTAAGAACTGAAAACAGAGAGGACAGCATTCGAAAATCTCTGCGCTGGCGTATAGTCAACCACTTTAATTGGGAGCGAAATTCTGATACGTGATCATTCATTTGCGCAGGCCATAGATGAATCGTATGCAGTTGTGAAGTAACCTGTCCAACCTGCTTAGCAGCTCCTGAGATATACGAGGGCAGCACTGAAAATTTCGGGAATCAAGGAAGTGTCACCACATTACTATTTAAAAATGTATTTATTGCTTTTCGAAGTATTCTCCGCGAAATTTGACACATTTTTGCATACGATGGACGACCAATCATTGAAGCAACCATTCCATTCGGAAGTTGGGGTCTCCAAAATGGCCGTTTTGTATGCGTCCACAGCTTCTTCAGGTGACGAAAATCTCTGTCCACGCAATTTATTCTTTATTTTAGGGAAAGTATAGAAATCATTAGGGCTTAGGTCGAGGCTGTACGGTGGATGGTCTAATAATTAATTTATTATTAGAAATTTTATGTCTTCTTGCTCTAAAAACTCTTTTGTTCTGTGTGCGGTATGAGAACTCGCATTGTCGTGATGGAGGATGATGCGGCGGTTGCAGTTCTCTTTACGGAGTTCAGAAACGACCTGTGGCAAACAAATGCTAGCATACCATTCTGCATTAACCGTTCTTTGTCCCTCAAGAGGAATAGTCGTAACATGGCCGGTTTTGGAGACAAACGTGGCCACCATTTTTTTTGCAACACTCCGTGAACGAACAATTTTTGTTGGCTTTAACTCATTTTCAAACACCCACTGGTTTTTTGTTTCGGGTTCGTACGCGTATATCCAGGATTCGTCACCTGATATGATGTTGTATACAGCATTTGAGGATCCTGCGTCGAATCTTTCGAGAGTTCTGACGCACCAAGTAACGCGAGCCGCTTTTTGCTCTTCACAGAGCGAATGCGGTATCCATCGGAAAAATCTACTTGTTGAAAAACTTTTTTACACCTAATTGTTCATGCAAGATTATTTGTATTTGACTCATGCCAATGTCTAAAGTTGTCTAAATTTCGCGGTATGTCACATGTCGATCTTCCTCAATCAGCTTACGCACAGCATCAACGTTTTCTTGGGTGACTGCAGTTTTTGGACGACCTTGACGGGGATCATCACTGAGCTTGACACGTCCACGTTGAAATTCAGCAAACCAGCGATAAATTGTGGTTTTGGATGGGGCTTCATCACCAAATGCAGAAATCATCCGGTCAACACACTGTTTTTGTGTTAAACCACTTCGAAAGTCATAATAAACATCGCTCTTTAATTTTCTCGAGTCAATTCCATTTTCTCAACGACTAAACAAGTTTGACAAAACCTTTTTTAAAATAAATAAATGGTATTCGATTTTTTCAATTAAAAAGATTTTAATATGACACACACACAGTGGAAATATTCCATTCCCGATACTTTTAGTGCAGCCGAGACAAACATCGGCATAGTCAAATAATGGAAGAATTAGAGATTAGATGAGTAGAAGCTTAGTTGAAAGAGGCAGAAATAACTTAAGACCATAGATGGAACGAAGTATGATTGTGGTTTACTAAAAATCTCTGACACCTGTAACCTCCAACTAAGGGTCGGGTCAATAATTAAACCCAGATCCTTGACACTAGTACGGAAAGGAATTACACAGTTTTCGTAGCGAATGGATGGTAAATCAGGTATATTAAGTTGTGATACCAATCGACGACTACCAATGATAATAGCCTGGCATTTACTGAGATTTATCGTTATACCAAATCGCTGTGACCAGTCTGAAATGCGTTGTAAGTCCTGATTAATAGCTCCAATAGCGGTAGCAATTTCAACCGAGGACGCTTGTGAATATAACTGAAGATCGTCAGCATAGAGGTGGTAAGAAAATTGATAAACAACGAAAACAAGAGAGGAGAGAGAATTCCGCCTTGCGGTAAACCTAGATACAGATCGTACCAGTCGGAAAAATCCTGACCAGCCCGAACAGCCTGCTGGCGACCGCGAAGATAAGAGGAAAACCAGTGCAGTACTGACGAGGAGAAGTTTAGGTGTGAAAGTAATCCAAGGAGTAAATCGTGATCGACACAATTAAAAGCGTTTGAAAAGTCAATAAGGACCAGAACAGTCAAACTTAACCTCTCCATACCCTCTCTAAAATCTTCTGTAACTTGAAGTAACGCTGTGGTGGTACTATGTCCAGGGCGGAAGCCAGATTGATATGTACTAAGGTAGTTGCATTTCGAAATGAAAGAGGTGACTTGTTTGTGTACCAATGGTTCAAGGGCTTTGGAAAGAAACGGTAGTATAGAAATAGGTCTGAAATGGGAAGGTAGGGATGGATTTGGTACTTTAGCAAGAGGCAATATAAAAGCTTTTAGCCATAACTTGGGGAATATACCAGAAGAGAGTGAGAAATTGATGATGTGAGTGAGAACTGGAGTGATGAACTAATATCGAGTATGAGAAGTATCATAGATCTACTCACCTCATTATAGCCGGTTGCGGAAGATTTTATTGAAAGTATGGCTTTTCTAGTATCATCGTCAGTCACTGAACTGAATTCGAAAGAATTACATGATAACAAAGGCATGGAATTAAGTTCCTGGGGATTCGTAGCTTTGGTGGATAAATGCAGACGTGATGCAGAAGAGAAGTGTATGTTCAAGTCATTGAGTGAAATATTTGAGATTAAAGAATTGGAATGTGATTTTCCAAATCCCAGGGAATTAAGGAACTTCCATATATCTGCAGAAGAGGAGTTTATAAAACTATTGTAGAAGTAGCGGCGTTTGGCTGTTCTTGCCACCTCATTACAGCGGTTTCGTGCTCGCTTATAGTGTTGAAAGGTGGAACTGTTCCGATTCTTTTTTTAAATTTGAAAAGCTCGATCTCTTCTTCTCATTGCTCTACGCACTTTGTCAGTTATGCACGGTGCAGAAGGTCGGCGTAACCTGACTGCTCGAACTGGTGCGTGCCTATCAAATAGGTTGAGAATTTGGGTGTTCAAATGAGCAATTTTGTCTTCAATATTATTTGCATCCAGCAATGGGCCCCATTCTATATTCTTAGCATCGCGGTGTAGTCAAATGGTGTCAATTTTATTGAAATTGCGTAAATACACAATCACTGGCTTTGGTTTGGGAGACTTTAATTTATACGTCATGACCAAAAGATCGTGTCGAGAAAACGCGGGAACAGCCAGTTGATCATGATATATAACATGATCCGCTGAACTAGTGTGAACAAATGATGTCTAACCATGAATCTTCGGAGTCCGCGTTATGGTGAGTTGGAGCAGATGGTAGAATATAGAGATCTGCCGAGTCTATGATGGCTTTAAGCTTGCGACTCTGAGGGGAATCCTTTAGCAAGTTAGTGTTGAAATCACCCATTATTATAATATGTTTGTTATCAGTGTTGATGGAGTCGATTACCGATTCAATATTGGAAAAATAATCAGTTGAAGGAGGGCAGTAAACAACTCCGAGCACGACCCTCAAACCCTTAATTTTTACTTCTAGAAATAGGTACTCAGCAGATCCTCTATATTATGATCGTGATATTGCAATGACATCATATGCATATTCCGATCGCAAGTAAATGGCTACGCCACCTCCACCCTTGCCAGTACGATCAGAACGTATAAGTACAAATACAGGAAGACTGTACAACGTGGAGAATAGGGAGGGTTTTAGCCAGGACTCTGAGATAAGTAGAGCATGGATGTATGGTGAGGAAAATGTGTCAAGTAGATCTGAGTAGTGGGCAGGGATGCTTTGCGCATTTATATGGCATATATTTAAACAATTTGTAGAGGCAAATTTCGTGTGCAAATAATTACCCACATTATCGATAAAAGAATCGTCTGCGGCTGAGGTAATGTAAAGAGTAAAACATGCAGAATAAAATGAGTCTTCATCCGATGACATTTAATAATAATAGTAAAAAATAAATATATATGATATAGGTAATAATAAATAATGCTGTAATGTGTTTATTACATTTATAGGTATACATATATATTATATATATATGTATACCTATAAATGTAATATATATTCATCATCCAACCTCTGATTAAGTGTCTTCTCCAGTGATGCTTGTGTTTTAAGAACTTCAAATATGTTTTCCATACTGAGATGTTTTGTACTCAACTTGAAGTTGGACCTGTAGTTGGACCTGTAGTTGGTCGGTTCTGAGCGGTCGCCTTTTTTTAGGGATCGGGTGGACCGAAAGTCGTTTTCCATGATTTTGGGACCACGCCTAGGGAGTAGGAGTAGCGGAAAAGTCGCGTATCGCGTAAACCGGTGCCAACTCTGTAGCACACATCCTCAGCACAATTGGGGGGATACCGTCAGGTCCACTCGACTTGTGGATGTCCAGGGAGAGGAGTGCTTTGCAAACCGAGCACTGTGTGAACCGGGAGCTGGAGCTCTCACACCGCGGGATGGTCGGCGGCACGCTCCCCCCCGTCATCGAGAGTCGAGTTGGACGCAAAGAAAGAGCCTAGCAGATCGGCTTTCTCCTTTGCGGCATGGGCCAGTGAGTCGTCCTCCCTGTTCAGAGATGGAAGAGATGGCAGACAGAAATTCCCTTGGACAGCTTTGGCAAGAAACCAGAATGCACGGGTTCCAGAAGGAAGGCGAAATAGTTTCTCGTCAATTCTGCCTATGTGCTCTGACTTTACCATGGCAATGACTCTTTTGAAGGACCTGGAAGCGGAATTTTACTTCTTTTTTAGAGTGCTGGTACTTACATCCCGGTACGTTGATGCGTCAGCCCGGGCTTGGTAGCACTCCTGCTTATAGCATGAACATGATGCTATTTTACAGTAGTAAAATATTATTCGGCGTGGTGTGCGTTAAAATCGCCGAGGATCACGATCTCTGCGGAGGGGATCTGCTGTAGCAACGAATCTGTAGCCATTTGACGTGTTCGAAGAATCGGTCTGTTTCGGCATTACCGCTATGGGGCCTATAGAGGCACCCGTAGCTGGTCGCGGATGGTGAAAGAAAACGGCCAGTAAGTCCTTTTTCCAAAGGGTCATTTACGGAATGTAAGTGATAAGAGTGAGTGAATTGATGACCGGTGCCCGGTGGTAGCGATTCGGTTGATTTCGGCGCCCCCCCTTCCCGTTGACAGCACCGCCCTAGGGCCGCCACTGGAGCTAATCAAAGTCCACTGCCGAAAATAGGCACCCCACAGATTTCCTCATAGGAAGAATATTTTTTGCCTGGATTTGAAAGGATTAGCCATAGTTGCGACACTTGGCAGACAGTTAGTCTGCCACAGTTTTGTATTATATATTTGAGTTATCGTAAAGATGTTGTTGCCAATATCCTATTTCAATTCACTCTGTCACCTCTCACGATACGCACGCGATTATTTTTTGTAGTGGACTCTCTTAAGATGCCACTATGTGGCGCGCCCAATGTAGTCTGCCAAAGTATTTTGCCACCAAAATATTTTGAATGATATCTCTGTAAATTGTGATTATTTGCACACACTTCATAACTAACTGTTGTAATAACACGAATCTAGCAAATATAAAATTTGAGACTTGATCGTTTTCTAACCAACATGTCATTTTATCACTTAACCATCACGAACCATCAGAAACCCTTCAGAAATGAGACAGCCTTAGAACAGTGGAACGTATTATAAGCTGTATCTTTACTTTACTTCAATAGACCATTGCAATAGAATTTGTCTTTTTTAATAATAATTTATTTGGTATATATCATAAGAAATGTTTGTTCACAAACGAGAACGTTTTGCCAATATATTACAGAAATCTCTAATAAATATGAAAAGTTTCTCGTAATAATTATTGTAAGGAAAAGGAGCTGATACAGACGTAGAAAAGGAAACTTTTCCTATTATACAACTGCTTATTCAAAAAAAGTATTATAAAATAAAATGTTTGGAAACACTGCGTGAAAACTTCTTATTTCAAATCCTCGTGTTTATTCTTTAAATTTTTTTCGTTGTGTTGAAGATGAAATCTAGTGGACTCTGATGACGTATTTTAAAAGTAAGTGGCTTAATTTAAAAATACAGATAGGGTGACGAACAAGTACATAGTCCACCTGATAGTAAGTGGTTGCTGTGGCTCATAGACATCTACACCTATCCTCGATTACAAACGAAAATGCAGATGCGTTGTCACCCGTGAGGACCGAGGAATGCCTCGTTTCCAGTAAAAAGGGTCTTCGGTGCTCTACACTCACCATACGAAACACAGCAGCATTAAGCTACTATTTTCACAGGTATTCTGTGAGAGCGTGGTCCTTCCCCGGTCGAGCCGACCCATTCGTGTTACAACTATACTACTAATATAACTGCAGCATGGCTCTACCACGTATAAAAATATAAATAAAACATACATTTTTAGTATATGGATATGAATATAAAGGAAGATTTTGAGTACACGCTATTTTTAACGACTTCAAAAAGGGAAGAAGTTTTTCAAACCGATTTAAAAAACTCGATAGAGATTGAGAGAGAAAGATTTATCAAACAGATATTGTTTTTATGTAGGTAACGCGATGTCTTCGTCAACTGCTAACCGATTTTAATCTCTCATATAAATTTAGAAAAAAAATTACTTAATTAATTATGAAGACTTTGAGTACCCGCTATTTTTAACGACTTCAAAAAGGGAAGAAGTTTTTCAAACCGATTTGAAAAACTCGATAGAGATTGAGAGAGAAAGATTTATCAAACAGATATTGTTTTTATGTAGGTAACGCGATATCTTCGTCAACTGCGAACTAATTTTAATCTCTCATATAAATTTAGAAAAAAATTCCACTGGATGGATGGATGGATTGGATGAAAAAAAACTCTTTAGACGACATTCTAGTTGTTATCTAACCTAGAGTCAAAAAATTAATCTTCATAAGAAATAAAAGTTTTCTTCGAAGATTTTTTATCAAAAGTTTAATTTAGCGTAACATACAGACAAGATTGCCACAAAGTCTAATCCTGAGCCACCCGCAACCATCTTCTCTATTTGTTTTTCTTTTTACTATTAAAATCTGTTTCATTAGATAGGGTCTAAGGGACTTGCACTATGAGTAGCTATCACTTGCATATTTTTGAGTACTTAATTTGTAATTTGTACCCATACCTCATCACTGAAAACCTGGTGAAATGTTCAAAGAGTGTTTTTCTGTTAACACGTTTCTGTATACTAAGTACTGGTAAACCTCCTTTTCTGCATAGTTGGGTAATTAGCGAAACGTTGCAGCGCATTAAGAAGTCCGCTACTGAACATTGACTTCCAAATTGGCAACTGTAGTTTGTTCGTTTTGAGGTTGTTATTACAAAGACGCCGATGCCCATCTGGTTTATTTCCCCTTAACTCGCCCTTAACGAGAGCCACAGCACGATATGGGATAGTGAATATTCCTACACTGCCATTACACGGTCAAAAGCGCTACTACAATTTGCGAAATAACGAAATATACAATGAATAACGAAATGAACCAAAAATTTAGTTTTGTTGGGCGTGGCTTATCTCTTTATCGTTGAAGCTCACGGATGACTGAGGAAGTGTCAAAATGAAAGTGATGCAATGACTTCATAATACCCAAATTATGAGATAGCTATACCAAGTACGCGCGCGCTGGGAAAAAAAGTAAGTAGGCGCCAAAGAATTTGATTATAATTTTTAACCAAACGTTATAATTGATTAAAAAACTGGTTAATGAGAACTTAGATATGATTATTCACTATGCCTTAAAAGTAATTCCATGAATTTTTTAGTAAAATT